AATTTCGTTTGTTATTCTAGCCAAATCGGAGATCATTTCCCAAAATTTGTTAAAAAGTTTATTTCTATTACGATTTCGTTGTGCAATTGAACGCTTTTGTAGCCACGCAAAGCTGCTCGTACGTAACTAAATGCTTCAACTTTTATTTATATGGTCAAATAGTAACTAAATAAATTGAAAATGTTTTTTGCGCGTAAATACATATAGATTTTCCTTGCAATCAGTGTATGCGCTGCACTGGTCTTTTGGCAATCGAAGTAATATACGTATATGCTGTATGCAGTGATTGGGAGGCGAAAAAGCTGAGGCTATATCCTCACTGGCGAATCAAAAAAAAAAAAAATAAAAATTTTCTACTTTGTCAAACAGAACTCAGCCAATTATTGGTTTGTTATTTGAAGCATTTATTTGTACAAATTTAAGCTGAATATTTATGTATTTTTTATTTGCAGCGTTACGATGGTGATCAATTTAAAATTTTATTTAGTTTCCGTTTTCAAGCCCACCGTAAATCGCTTATTTAAAAATTACAAAAAATATATATTAATTCATACATATATTATTTTTGCATGTGTATAAAGAAAATTCCTGCTTATCCGTCCAATTCTGTAACACATTCAAAAGCCTGGGTTAGGTGAATTGTTAGTGTGTACGAAAAATTTATATAACTGATGTTAAACAATGCGAACAACGGTATTTATTAATTAAATGTAAGTTATACAATATTAGGGGTGAAAATCGATGAGTTTCATCCTTATAGTTATTAGCATTCATTTAAAAAGCCATGAATTTTTTTCTATGGATAAGATTTTGATATGATTGCAATTTAAATTTAAATTTTTCACAATATATGCAAACATTTTTTTCTAATATTTATCCGTAAATTTTTTATAAAAATATGCTTCATTCTATTGAATATAGTTCCTAAACTTTCATGCAAATTTTCAACTTTTTAATCAATTAGAATTTTTTTGAGTATGCAGAATGTACAAGTTTTAAGTGCTAGGAATTATCGTTAATTTGTGGCAATTTTTTTTCACGTAGTCTCTTCCATACAAAAAAAATTTTTAGAAAATACTTTATATGGAAAAAATGCAAAACACCTTCAACAAATGCGATTTTTGACTAACTCAGAACTTTCAGGTTATTATTAGAATTCAATGGGCTGTAAAACTGCATACTCGAAAAAATTTTAAAAAATCTTATTAAAAAGTTGAAAATTTGCATGAAAATTTACTAAATTTTTGGGACTTTTGCCCAGAGTTTAGGAATTATATTTTTATGTTTTTTATTGTAGAATGAACCATATTTTTATAAACAATTGGCGTAAAAATATTAGAAAAAAATATATGCATATATTGTGAAAAAATTATATGTGCCAATACTTTTTGCCGGCAGTGTAAACGAAATATGGCAAATGAAAGCTAACAAAATTCTCCACAAACCATGTATACTACATCCCTTTTCGATCGGCGTGATAGTTTCTTAGAAATTAATTAATCATTTCAGATGTTTTGTTTTATTGATGAAACAATTTGAGGAACCGTAAACAACAGATTTCTTTCCAACAGTTAAACTTGGCCAGATATTTTTAAGTCCAAAATAAAAGTATCTTCTTAATTATAAGCAAACCGCTTATCCAAATGAAAAAAGTTTGGTATCAAATGAAAGAGGGCTTAAATAAATAGCTTTAAAACTGAAATGTCTCAAGAGAAAAGCCACACATTGAAAAATATTTCAATAAAAAATGTTATTTTATTACCATAGAACAAAACTTGGGTCAGGTATATGTATTTCTTATGTATAGAATTATAAAAAAAATATATAAATAGAAGCGGTAACGTTCGTTCGCTATTTCTCATTTGATAACAAATTTGTTTAATTTGGATAAACGGTTTGTTTACTGTTGAAAAAAATAACCGTTATTTGCGGCCTCTGAAAATTAAAAAAAAAATCAAACTTTAACAGGGAAAAGTAAAAAAAGTAACGAATTCGGCTTAAATTTTTTTTTGTAATGTACCTACGGTTTATGGGGAAATTTCTTGGCTTTCATTTCCAAAATTTTGTATTAGGATTGTTCAATTGGCAAGCTGAATAACGATAAATTGAAAATACATACCTCGAAAACTTATCCATAGAAAAAAAATAACTCGAATTTTCGATCCAGTGCTATTATCGCACAAAGCATGTTCCAAATCTAGATGTAAATACATTGTTTTGCTCGCTCTGCTCTAACAGTCGCAATGGCCGAGTGGGCAAAGCCATCCGAGAGATCGACGTTCAAATCCTCCGGCAGAGGATTGGTTTCTTTTTTAATAAAAAAAAAGAAAAAGTTTTAATGAAATTTGGAATTTAATTGTTTTAAAAAGAAAAAAATATATACTTTTATTTAATTTTAGTTTTTGAATCTCATTTTAGGCTTTTTTCTGTTTTTCCTTTTTAAACTATTTTTCTTTTAACTTTAGTAATTTATTATTTATTGTCATTTTATTTATCTTTTTTTAACTTTTTGTTTTGTAGTTTTTATTATTTTAAAAAGCAAAAAAAAAATTTTGTGTCATTTAATGTATAAAAGTTTATTTTATTTATTTTTCTTTTTCTTAAATAATCTTTTTTTAATTTACGGTTCCTTTAATTTTAAGTATTATTTTAAAAATAAAAAAATTGTAAACTGATTTTAGTTCTTTTCTTTTTTTAATTTTTATACCCGAGCGCACTTGTGCACAAGGGTATATTAATTTTGTTCACATAACGGTTGTTTGTAACAGTCAAAACGAATCGAGATAGATATAGACAAATGTATACATAAATGTATACATAAATGATCAGGATGAAAAAAGAAATTGATTAAGCCATGTCTGTCTGTCCGTCCGTCTGTCCGTCCGTCCGTGTACACGATAACTCGAGCAAAAATTGAGATATCTCAACGAAATTTGGTATGTAGGTTTCCCTTAATCCAAGGTAGGTTGGTATTGAAAATGGGCGAAATCGGACTTAAACACGCCCACTTCCCATAAAACGGTAATTTCCAGAAATACGAAAACTGCGATATTTTAGTAACTACTGAAGATAATTCACTCAAAATTTATATTTACAATAATTTTTAGACGAAAAATAAGAATATTATAAATTTTTGGAAAATGGGCGTAGCCACGCCCACTTATGGTTACATGTGTATATCTTGGTAACCGCTGCACCAATTTCTTCCAAACTTGGCACAATTGTTGGCCTTGGTACAGCATACTAAATGGCCGAAAATTTAAAAAATCGGACAATAACCACGCCCCCATCCCATATAACGGTAATTTAGAGAAATATAAAATCTTCGATAAATCAGTAAATATTAAAGCTAATTTATTCAAAATTGATGCTTGCAACAATTCTTTACCAAGAAATACGTTTCTGGTAAAATTTTGGAGAATAGGCGTGGCGCCGCCCACTTATGATCACATATATGTATCTCGCTAACCGTTCTAGCAAACCGTTGAAAATTGTTGAAATCGGACTAAAATTACGGCCGCTTTTCATATAACGGTAAATTTCAGAAATGCTTGAAACTTCAATATTTCGAAATTTAAAGGAGCTAATTTACTTAAAATTGATACACCCCAGCTTACCATCTAGCGGTAGGTTTCGGAAAGGTGGAAAACCATATATTTAATACTTGGGCCGGGTATTTAATGTTCGGCTCCGCCCGAACTTAGACTTTCTTACTTGTTTTAATAATTTTTTTTTTTTGTACTTCCTTTTTCTTTTAATTTTCAGAACAGAATAAGTCCCCCTCGGTAGCAGGATCTTTCGAATAGTGTCTTGAAAGACAGAAAAAAATTTTTCAAAAAAGTTGCAAGAAATGACTGGTAGTTTGAAAGACAGTTACCAGAATACCCCTGTTACCCTTATTCTTCTAGTACTTAAGATATTTAAATTATTTTATTGAAAATGCTGGCAAACGGCGAGAACTGGATATCGTTCTTAATTATTTTTCAGCGGTTGTACACTAATGACTTTATTTATAAAAAATAAAATAGGTTTAGAAAACTTTATAAATTAAAATTTTCATTCAAATTTTCTATTTATAAAGCAATTAAATATTTAAGAGTATAAACAATAATAGCTTTAATTTATATTAAGTTATTACTGGTAAACACGAAATAAATGTGCCAAATTTATAGATAAGAACTAAGCATTATTGCCTTTTGCCATATGAAAATTCGTGGAAATTAAAAAAATGATATCTAAAAAAATCTTTGCACACACAGTTTAGTAAACAATAATCTAAATCCGGTTATTTATACACGCATTAAAAACCATTTTGGCAGAAAAAATAATAATTGAAATGAAATATAACTACAAATTATGTTTTTCTTGAATTCAGTTGCATAAATAATTCTAATTAATATTTAAGTTTTACTTGAATAATATTTTTGTTTTGTTTGTAACTATACTATTATTCATACTTTATTTCAGAAATTTATTTTATTACCAATAAAATTAAGCATTGCTGAAAACTAAGTAGATTTTTTGTTTGCTTTTACTCCTGAAGTAACTGTATTTAAAGAAAAATTTTACAACTATCTTCAAACCGATTTTCTCGAACTTTCTTCTATATATAAACTTGCTATCCTTGCTACTACTACTTCTAAATTTTCTTGCTGTCCCTCAGTCACCTAAATTTTTTGTTATCATAAATAATAATTTAAATTCTGATGAAAATTAAATCTTTGTTTTATAAAAAAAAAATTGTTTATCCAACATTTTTATTTGATTTAGTTATATTTATATCTCCATACTGTGTATGACAATAGCCGTTTGCTATCGTTTCGTTCGTTGCAATTCTGATTTATTGCATTATCGATTCGATTTCATACATTTCATTTAATTGCCAACAAATTTTTTTCTGCATTGTTGTCTCTCGTTCGTAACGTATTTATGTGCATACGTTTGCTGCATTGATGCCGCACCACCACACACTTTTTGGCATTGGATATCGTGCGCTGCAGTGCCACCACGCTGGATTGTCGAGCCGACCGATGCAAATGTGGAACGTAACCGCCATATAATGCTGCATTGTCAGGCGCAGGGTGTGCCAACGCCCAGCATTGTTTGGAAGAAGGCTACAGGTAAGTGAGAATGGGATTTAAACAGAGTAAAGCGGAAGTATTGGCAATAAAAAGAGGGAACAATAAAAAGTGGTTTTTACGCAATACAAAATTTTTATTTATTTGAACTTATTTGTTAATAGGTTCTTATATATGTACATAGAACTTCGCACAATAATTGTTTGCACATGAGTATCCTTTTAAAGTATTTCGCATGTCGATGCGGAGAAAAACGGGATGCAAACCTGCTGCTATTTAAAACATTTTTCTGTAATAATATTCACAGCTAAGTCCTACATATTTTAAGTAAATCTAAAATGGATTATTTTGGTTTATGTAAGGTTTTCCAAGACAACATTTATATATCTTCCGTGAAATCAGGAGATGATCGCTCTCTCTGGAACAACCAGTATTTTGTTGACTCACTACATATAAACTTACCTTGAAATTATCGTTCACGTCTGGAGCATTCACATCCATTTGGACCATGTGAACAAGCCAGAGGTGACGATGTTTTTTAATGCACTGTTCCATGCCTATATCACTGTAGATTTTAGCTCATCATTTCATCGTTTGTGATATTCGCTGTCGCCAAGGCGGAAGGCCCGGCAAATTTTTCACAAAACTGTTCTCTCTATATTCTAGAGACCTTCTCAGCGGATATTGTTGTCAGCCACGCTTCTTCGCAGAACCAACTCGGACTTTGCTTTACTCAAATTCTGTCTGCGCGATTCAGTTTTGCAGCTTTTATAATCATTGGCAATATCAGTATATACTAAGAAGTTGTTCGATGGAGAGTAGTCCGGTCTGAAACCTCGTTTGTTATCGACCTGCTAAGAGGGGCCGTTCCCAATTCCGACGGAGCAGGTGGCGTTGCTTAACGTCATTTCACACAGTTTTTATTTGTTTCGTACCCACATGAAATTCAGATATTTCGGCATAAAGGCAACGCTTTACCCATCGCTTCTTTTAAAACAGTGCCGGCCACACGGATACGAAAACATCTACATGAGTGTGTGTGCCAAGCGCGTGATAAGCGAAAGCATACCCAGCCAGCAAAAAATCCGAAAATCGATCCGAAAAAAGAAAAAAGTATATTTATTTTGGAACGAATTTCCGTCATCCCTTGTGAAGCTTGGTTTGCAGACAAACTGGTTTCGGCGTTGTGCCATCTTCAATGCCATTTTTCGTTCTTAGCTTGAACAAATGAAATACAATTATTGCTTTCAAATAAAATCATCTTGTTCGAACGTTTTCCGGATACGTAAAAGAATGAAAATTGTAGTCGTTTTCTATTCGTTTCCGGATACGGAAAATTGTACTAGACTGCACTGTCGGCAAAATTTACGTTTCTCTGCTGGCTGGGTAACTTCGTGCAAACACATCGTCAGCGTTGGTGAGAAAACACGAAGGCGGAACTGCACAATGTGCACGCTTTGGCCGGCATTGTTTTAAAAGATTTTGCGTATGGAAAACGCCTGGTCTATGTAAGATTTACCAAGTTTAAGACCACACGAATAAGGTCCAATCAGTTCATTGATGATCAGTTGTAGCCTTTCACACAATTCGCTCGATAAGATCTTATAGCCGATGTTTAGGGTCACCTTTCATATGATATCAGACAGAGAAAACGGAACTCCAGTCTTGAGGAGTGCGTTCATCTGACTATATTCTGCATTCAATTTGATATGTGCATCGGTATTATAGGTTACCTGCTGCCTACATGAATAGCTCAGCTGGCAGACAGTCAGCTCCAGCAGCTTTGTTTTTATTCTCCCGATATATCGACTTCTTTGTCCCGGAGTGGACTGATCTCCTATACTGTTGCCGCTCATAATTTTGCAGAAATGTTCTCTACAAAATTTAAGTAGGAGCTGGACATCTGTCATTAACTAGGTCGCCGAGCTTGTTTTTGATACAATTTTCCTCCTTTCGCCCGGAAATTTACGCTTTTCCCACTCACTCTTTTCGGTGTTTCTCTCTTTTCGGTTTACCAAATAAATTTTTGCTTCCTCTTTCATCTTTAAGTATCGACTCAAATAAATAGCTTGTGTTGCACCCGATCACAGTGTGACCATGTTGGAGGCACTTTACTTTTTGCAGTTGCGTGACACTTCTCATCGTAAAAGTCGATCTTTTGAGCTCGCTAAAATGTGACCCCATAGCTTGCGAGTGTCCGTTTATTGAAAGTGCTCTTTCACGTGATGGTGGTATCCAACTTTTCAATCTTGGGATTGCGTTGTTAGACATGTGTTTTTAGCTGCACAGAAGAATGTGCGTATCATACGTGCCAGGGCTAGAAATTCGCAAAGATAATGTAAAACGGTCCATGTATGTTCCTAGGTCCGGGAACCCAGACGAGTAAGATGTCTATTAACGTACACTTTCAGTTTCTCTCTAATTTAGAAATTGTTGTTGGTAACGCCAATACCAGAAGGGGTTTTCTTTGTTACTTATCTGATAAAATGTGTGCATTTTTTACTCCTTCGTGGCTTTTTTTTTGAAGACCTTACCATCCTTTTAAATTCCCCACACTTCCGCTTGGAAAGTGCTCGCAAAGGTACATAGTCGTAACGAGATATTTCAGAGAATTCGCCCAAACCTACACCGCAGTCCATTTTATACCTCTCCGCATAGATGAGAACCGCATTCCGTTTGATTGGTCTGCTTCTACATCAGTCCCGCCTAAAAGGAAACTTCACCTGAAAGTTTTTTCTGGAATCTGGTGAAGGAGATGTACATATAATCTGATTTTTTCCCCCAAATCTGAGAGCTTTCAAAACCTCCACTATGCCTGTATTGCCTCGGACACTAAAAGCCGTACTATTTGAATCTGATTGCAGAGTTCACTGGAATTTCGCACTTGTGGAATTCTATGGGAAGTTGATGCAGAATAACAATAGGCGCTTCAGTAGGACACGCCTTGTTTGCTTCTCACTTTCCTGAAGTTGATTTGCGTGTCCTTTGCTAGCCACCATCCTGTCGCTACGTTAGAGCTTTGAAGACAGATTGGCCGCCTGAAATCTTTGTTTTGGCATATTGCCTGTTTAACAAGACGTGGGCGGTCTATGGTATGGCAGCTAGTTCCGCCTGGAATATAATTACGTCCTACTTAAGGGAAAATAAGTCTGGAATCGCGGTCCCACAACACCCTCACCTACGCCTTAAGATGTTTTTGAACAATCGCTATACCATGTTTGTGAATCTTCGGCAACCACGTGGGTTTCTGCTCCATTCTTCACGAGTGGGAATACGATTTTGTACCTCTACGTAAAGCTGTGAATGGGTTCAATTTAGTTTGAGAACAGGATTTTGGTCATTTCGACTGTACACACAGAACGTCATTTTAGGATTCAACAAAGGATCTGGAAGTTTTGTTTAGGACGTCCGGAAACAAGTCCGTGGTCTTTTCATGGTCGCCCTTGATGATAATGGATATCTCTCCAGCGTAGCGTATCGTTGTTTTCGCATTGAGGACATGCGCTAGTTCATAAGCCAGTATAGACCACAAAAGTGGAGATAGCACTCCTTCCCGTGGACAGCTTTGATTGTCCTCTGGGTAAGCATATTGCCGATCCATTTGACTATTTTGGATTTGCACTTCTATTGGAGAGTGCCAATTCCATTGATTTGATGGAGCGAAGTGCCGTCATTTTCATTTCTAATAAGCAAATTGATGTTTATGCAGAGGATAATGAGGGAGTATCCTCACATAAGTCAGAATAGTTCTTCTCCACTAGGCACTCAACTACAAATCCCAATAGTTATTAAAACCAACTGCAACTTTCGTTTTCTGTGTAAGTCAGATGTGAAAAATCTTCTCCACTCCTTTTGTCAATCACAGTTTTTTCAACTTATTTTCTCGTTTCTGATCGGGAGGCAGCTTTATAGGCTGATGAATCATTTCATGCTGGAACCTTTTTACAAACTAACATATTTCGGAGCGTAGCGAAAGCAGAGTTTTTGTCTTGTAGACTTTATCTTCCAACAGTCTGTCCAAAACTACATTTTTTTTAGCGCATATTGAAGTCGCTAGCAATTTTTGGTCCTTCCCATTAAGTACATCCCTCAAATCGTATTCCTTAAAATATTTGCGGGGTTCGTCACTAAAAGTAGGAGGAAAGTACTAGCTACTTTCCAAAGATTAAATATAGTATACCTTAAGTGTTTCTTAGCGGTTATAATACTTCGTTGAAATAATCTGACTTAGTTTTTTATACGTTAAGCGGTACGAGTAAAAAAAAAATAAAATAAATTGTACTTTTTGTTTACAGGCAGTAAGTCTGGTGAATACGAGGAGGTGCGAGAGCGGCCTTTCACCAAATTATTGAGCAACGGTTCGCTGCTACTGCAACACGTTAAAGAGGATCGTGAAGGCTTCTACCTTTGTCAAGCGAACAATGGCATTGGAACTGGCATCGGAAAAGTTATACAGCTAAAAGTAAATTGTAAGTGCAAAGTTGCGTAAGCACAGAATAAAGCTTTATTATGCCTATCCGTTTCGTAAGCTATCAATGTAGGTAAATTTTCGCAAACTCACAAAGCACCTATAGGCATTAATTAAATGCGCCATAGCGATATTATATATATATTCTCTTGTGTGTTTGTATATATGTACATACTTATTTGAAGTATTATATTTCATCTCAATACCAACAACTATGCTGTGTTAAACTTTTAGCATTTTCCAACAACACTCTTTACGTATTCGACATTATTTATACTTTCATGTGTTTCTCCTTTGCATTTTTAATGATACAGCTTCGCCGTACTTCTCATCCACTTCACGCTCGGTAACGGTGAAAAAAGGTGACACAGCGCTTTTGCAATGCTCTGTCAGCGGTGACAAACCGATTAATATCGTTTGGATGCGTTCGGGCAAAAATACGTTGAATCCATCAACAAATTACAAGTAGGTCAAGAGGGACACACGCTGTCACTGCTGTTAACTAAGTATTCCAACTACCATCAAATCATCGTCTCCTTAAACCTACATACATACATATCTCCTCTCAACCCCCCACTCCTGCTTCTTCATCTTCCTCATAGCGTTCATTAATCTTACCCCATCATCCTGTCAACATTAATTTTATCAGCACTTATTTAGTATCCCGCATATTTCCCACAGGAGCATTAATGCCACCTACATAGAAGTGATGAGTCGAATTCTTTTCGCTACATTTCCCATTTGTGTCGTTGCAGAATTTCGGTGAAGCAAGAGGCGACACCTGATGGTGTTTCTGCCGAATTGCAAATACGCATGGTGGATGCCAGCGATAGTGGCCCGTACTTTTGTCGTGCGAGCAATCTCTATGGCAATGATCAGCAATTGGTGCAGCTGCAGGTGCAGGAGCCACCACAACCGCCCACCGTTTTGGAGGCGGCTATGATTTCTAGTCGTTCGGTGAATTTGAAATGGCAACCGAAAACAATGAACACAGCGGATATCTCAAAATACATTGTGGAATTCAAGGAAATGGACCGTAAGTAGCTGAAAAGAAATATTATTAAAATAGATAAGTACTTAGTAAAAATAAAAGAAAAGAGAAAGGGGGAAGAAAACAAAATGTAAAGTAAGATGTAGATAAGCGCTGTACATTAACACATAGTTAGGAATAAATAGCCTTGATTGATAAAATTGACAGACCTTGACATTAAAATCGAAGAAACTTTTGATGAAAAATTCATTTCATAGGGGTATCATAGGGGTAAAATTACAGCCTGGTATTAACTAGAATTAAAACTTGCCTTAATAGCGGAAAACTTCAAGCAGATGTAAGCGCTTTTAGATTTTCCAAGCACATTAATATAATTTTGCTACAAAACTCCGCACACATCGAGAAAAAAAGTTTGTTATTATTACCTAAATTTTATATACATATACTCAAAAAAGGGTTTTCGATATTCGCGCTTTTTGAGTCAAGCACCAAAGTTTCCTTAAATTTAGGAGGATTTTTTATTTTCAGTGTAGTAGCCAAGTGGCGTAGTTGGAAGTGGCGAAATAAATATTTAGTTGGTGAGAGTATGCAATTTACTTGACCGTTTTAGTTGAGACAAATTTATGTATATTTGCTTATTTTTACAAGCTTTTTATCACTATCATGTGTGGACAATATTTTTAACAAATCATTGTTGAGTAAAAATAAATAACGATTTGGCTGCGACAGGTTTTCTACTTGTTTTGCGAAATTGTTGAATACTTAAATCAAGTAATCCTTTATATTTGCTAAAAAAAAGTTTTAGTTTTGAATAAATTAAAATTTAGTAAATGGTTTCTGTGTTTATCAAAGTGTTTATTTTCTTATTGTAATTGAAACTAAAATCTGTATATACATAATTGCACAGTCATACGAGGAAGTTGGGGCAATCTGAAGCTGCTACAGAATGAATTTGGCACAAATAAAAATTAGTGAAAAACGGTCAGCTTTTAGATCGATGAATTAGGCAAAAAAATATAAGCATTTAAATATTTCCTGATGGTATTCCCAACGTATCTAAATATGTTTCATATATATAATTCAGCATTGAATATATTGGACAAACTTTTTTGAGCTTTAAGCGAACTTTTCGTAAATAAGGGCTTATTCTTTACCGCGTTAATTTAATTTAATTTTCTGGTTGCAGTTGAATGTGTTTTTCATAAAAATAAAATGTGTGAGAAAATTCGACAGTGAGCAATGTAGTATGTTGAAAAATGTTGACCAGTTCTCAATGGAAATGCGATTCAAAGAAATTTATAGGTATTAGCTTTGTTCTACAAGCTACTTGCAGAAAAACTCTAGCAAAGTTCAAACTGTCAGCGTATATGAAATAAACTATAAAACTTACTTGTAGAATGCGTATGTCTAACTCGAAGTGACTTCGAGTAGCTTGTGGAACAAACCTATTATTCATAGTTTTGAAATGTATTCGCAAAAGAAAAATATAAAAATAGTTGAGATCACTTTCTTTTTTAAACACCTGTGGTACTATAGCCCAATATAATGGACATTGAGCAACGGTTAAGTCACACACCAACAACGAAAATGAGAACGGTTAAGTCCTTTATACGTTTGCCGGACCGTCATCAAGGAGAGGGGGTCTCATCCAAGGCATGTTTGTATTTTTCATTGGGCGGGGTTTTAATATGACAGAACCCAAACCCAGCGCACGCAAAGTTTTACGCCTTCTCAATTTAGCTCGCTCCCAAATGGGTGTTTGGTCGCTACCCTTAGGTTCCGTGGACCTTGTGAGCTGTGGTTTAAACCGTACGCACACTTCTGGCCACACCCAGGTGAATGGCTGTCAAAAGCTATTCCCACTTAGGTGGACTTCTGCGCACCGAACTATCCCCTTTCAACGCGGGTCGCGATGCTGGTAAGAGATGAAGAGGGAGGCCTCCACTGCGTTGGAAAGACCAGGCGGAGAAGGACATGGTTTCACTTGACATTTCCAATTGGCTTGAGTTAGCATAGAGGCGTGCTGTTTTGGACTCGGCCACAATCGCTTAAGCGGTCACAGTGCAAATAAAGAAGAAGAGGAAGAATAACGGCTAAACTAATAGCCTATTTCCACCAAAAGCTTAACTGCAGTTAAGTACCAAGTATGTTAACATGGGGTGATTGGCAATGTTTATTTCTTACCTTTTCGTTTTCTACTTTCGTTTGATTGTACTTTATATGAGCTATCACCCTGTTCGAGTGATAATCTCGTTTTTTCCAATGGGCATAAACTGCAGTTAAGTCTTGGTGGAAATGCCATATAAGAGCCTTACAAATTTTTGATTTCATTTTTTGAATGAACGATCTAAAATTAGCCGGTAGGTACACATATTTGAAAATTTTAAAATGGGGAGGTTAATTTTTTTTACTGAAAGGGTTAAGAGAGCTTAAGTGTAATTATATGAAACCAAATGCTTTTCACCTTGGAACGGCGCAATTTCCAGTGATGGTTTCGTTTGCGAATATTATTAATAAAGCCCTTCGAAAGTCGATGTAGAAGGTTGGCCTACATCTTAAAGATAATACCGGCCAATGACAATATTTTTTTTAATTCTTATTAGATTCAAAAAATATCAATATTTCCAAAACGGTGACATTTTTACAGGAAAAATGTTTGCTCATGAGGAAGCTTTGACACTAGCCATAGCTTAGTTTTTAGAGACGGCTACTTTCACCCGGTGAGACCAGGGTTCAAGTCCTGGTCCGAGGAACATAAAAAAAGATTTTTTTTTTATTTGCCACTCGACATGCAGTGGCAAACCGCCTAGAAAACAGCATTTTTTTCTGGTTTATATTCCGGTTTAGGTATTCACGTAATTCTGCGCCATCTTAACGACTTGCCCGATCTTGACCAAATTTTGATTGTATATTTTCCGGTTAATATTCGTTGCATAGAAAAAAATATTCTTACGAAAGTGTACCCGCTAGATGGCACTGGATCAACTTTGTACTCAAGGTTCGTTAAAGTTACTCTCACGAGTTCTTTTAGTGGCACTCCCTGATTTTCGGAAAAGCTTCAGCAACTCTCAAAAAAAATTTCATGAAATGGGTCGCGAGTTACGAATTTTTCTCTCGAAAATTGCAATATTCTTATAATACCAAAAAAAAAACAAAAACGAAGTGCAATTTCGAAAAACCGTCCAAGGAGTATTTTTGTTCTATAATTATTTACAAATTCCTACAATTGTCTTCACTTTCCAGAAAATCAATGGAAATTCATTGACACAGTTGGCGTGGTTTGACTCTAACTGAAATTTTAGCACCGATCTTCGATTTTTGCAGTACACAAAAATAATAATAAATAGCAGAGAACAAGAACGAGAACTAAAGTTGCCAAACGAATTACTAATGTGTATCATGGAACCCGGGTAATTCACGAATTACTTAACGAATTACTTAGAGAGCGAATTACGAAGCGTGGAAACATCGTATTAGATGATTATGATTTGCGAAGCAAAAATTCCCATTTTACAATTTTTATTGACACACCTGAAATTCATTATAAAATTGTTATATACATGAAGAAATTAATATATATATTCGTGTAGAATATTCTAGAAAAATATTCCACGCCAATATTACAAAACTTTTATGTAAATATTATGACTTTTAAGTTAAAGCGTGCGAGTGTATGCGTGTTAGCTGCCTGTGTATGGTGCTACGGGGCGTATACGTTGCATACACAACTACGGGTATATGTGCATGAGTTGTTATTTTTATGCTTTTAACCGACTTCACAAAAGGAAGAAGGTTATCAATTCGTCGGAATATATATATATATATTTTTTACTTATGGTACCGCATAACTTTGGACCATGCCAACCGATTTCTATTTTTCTAAACGAAAGGTATTACCTCACTCGATCATTGGATTATGAAGAAATTAACGACAATTAAATTTTTATATGAGCATTGAAGTCGGTTTTATATTTTGCTTAAAAATTACTTGTTTGTATATCTTTTTTAAGTTTTCATTTAAATACAATTTCGCGATCGAATCTTGCTCTTTACGCAAAAATAGAGATAATGCATGGTGTAAAGTAAGTGTCCCACAATTTTCGACCCAAAAAAACACGTTTTAGTCGAAAAATGTAACCATTCGTGAGATTTTCTCACATACTACTTACATTAACCCTAGTGTGCCCATCCAAATTAATTAACGTTGTTGTCAAACCGGGGTACCTGGGTATCCACTTACGGATTTATATGTAAAAGTCGGCTGTAACTTAGTATTATCTTGGGTATTAGATGCACATTGATTTATTTATTGTTAACGTAGATCTTTTTATGCAAATCCAACGTTAGCATTATATACAAGTAATTTTTAAGCAAAAAACAAAACCGACTACAATTCTCATAAAAAAGTTTAAGATTATCGTTAATTTCTTCATGATCCAATGATCGGATTTAAACCAAATTAATATGTGACCACCTGTGAGGTAACAAATTTCATTTAAAAAAAGAATTATCGAAATCGGTTATCGTGATCCAAAGTTATGCGGTAACATACAAAAAAAAAAGTAAAAATATTCCGACGAACTGATAGCCGTCTCCTTTTTGTGAAGTCGGTTAAAAAAGACCTTTGTAATAGAAAGTCCGGTATAATCTGAAGTGAGTCAGAGCGTATACTTGTGAATTCCGAGAAGGTTTGTTACATTCAACTGAACAGGGAAGCAATAAGAAGGTCTGTATGTCCTTTTATATCCGAGGAATATACTAGAACACCTTTGAAACAAATATGTATTACATTCGGATACCATTTTACTTTAGTATCCATAGTTTATTTGAAGCAGCCGGACGTATTGCCGTGCACCTCAGCGCAGTCGTTATCAGAGAGCCACTCGGTAATTTTTGTGTGTTTTTAGAATACTTGTGTACATATTTTTTAAACGTTGTGTTTAGCTAAAATAACTTTTCAAATGTAAATAATATACAAAATTTTTATTTGCACGTTTGCAAATGTACAATTTCTCATAATTCAGATTTTTTTATTGCCTGAAAAGTAAAAAAAAAATATGTTTTTGTTATTTTAGTAAACTAAATATTATTATTTATATTAGCTCGATTTAATAAATAAACAATTAAAAGCAATATTATTTGTTATAACTTTTTTATTTATACATCTTTCTGCCTATTTTGTATGTGATTACCCGGGTACCCCGGTTGGACTCTTCGTGTACATTTTTCTTTCAGGTTCAAAATTTTCTGGACTGAAAAGAAATATAAAATATTTTAAATGCTTTTCTCCATCTAAAATCAGTCAAATCGTAGAGATCCGGGAGGTTTGGAAAAATTGTTCCAAGAAAAAAAGTTATTTGATACAATATTTGTCGATGGGTACCCGAGTACCCGGTTGGGCACACAAAGGTTAACTTAAATTGACGATGTTTTTTATTTAACTAACTATTTATGTGTAATAATTGTAGCTACTTCTCTCTTGACTTCATTAACTGCACTATTCATTTATATTTTCTTCTATACCTTTTAAATTCAATAGGCATATATAGAAAAAAATATATTTATATACATATAATATTATCCGCTGGGTAGCGCTGAAGTGCAGTTATACATATGAAATAATATTTATTGCATTAAGCCGGATAGTTTCTTAAGAACATTTCTTAAGAAGCAATGAAAAATTAATAGAATCCAAAGCGATGAGTGGGTTAGGTACATATCAAAGTGAGGCTTCACTGATTCGAAATCCAGATATATATATATATATATAAAACAAATTCAGAAAAACGCCCTACATTAGCTACCTACATGTATCGTCAAATATTTCTATATGCGCAGTTGCAGCGTGGGGGTTATTAGCTTAGTTTCAATATTAATAAAAATTTATATTCTTTAAAAATAATAAAACCCAATTTGAATTATGCTAACGCGTATCGCTCACTCTCCTCCTCTCTACCTTCTTCACATCATACAGCACTCTTCATCGAGCAGTGGCAACAAGTAGAGGTCAAGGATCCACCAACGTACACAACGTTAATTGAGAATCTTAAGCCAGCAACACGTTATTCCTTTCGCGTAATAGCCGAAGGCACTGCCGGCCGCAGCGCACCGAGTCAAGAGTTAGTGGTGCGCACCGAACCACAACGTCCCGCCGGACCGCCGCTCAATCTCTCAGTACGTCCATTGTCTTCCACCGAGTTACTTGTCAGCTGGTTGGCGCCGCTCGTAGAATTGCGTCACGGCGACATACAAGGCTACAATGTTGGCTATAAATTGGCCAGCTCGGGAAACTCGGCATACAATTTTACCTCAGTGTCCGGTGATGGCGATGGTGGCACCGGCGAACTCTTGCTAAGCGGCTTACAGAGATTCGCGCGTTACAATGTTGTTGCGCAGGCCTTCAATCAGGTGGGACCCGGTCCACTCTCTGAGCCGGTGTCAGCGCAAACAATGGAAGACGGTGAGTTGGCTACTTTGGCGAAATATTACTTGTTATTGTAGTTAATAGTCAGTTTATTGCCTTTTATTAAATAAATTTATATTCAACTATATTTCGTGACAGTGCCAAGTCGACCGCCGGAGGATATACGTTGCGCCGCATTGACCTCACAATCATTGCAAGTTTCGTGGCAGCCGCCGCCAATCTACCATACCAATGGTCTCTTGCAGGGTTACAAATTAATTTTCGAGCCTATTCTGGATGACTTTTCTCTCAACAAAGACGAAGTTGAATCACGCAAGACAACCGCTCTAACCACAGTGCTGACGGGATTACGCAAGTACACCAACTACAGCATACAAGTGCTGGCACACACACGCATGGGTGATGGCGCGCTATCCAACCCACTCTACTGTCACACCGAGGAGGATGCTCCCGAAGCGCCGGCTGACATCAAAGTGGTCGTTAGCTCACCGCAATCTTTGTCTGTCTCATGGTTGCCACCTACGGAACCGAATGGGGTCATCACAAAATATAATCTATATACGCGCGTCGTAAACGGGCGAGAAGAGCTGAATAATGAAAAACGTAGCTTGCCGTCACAGCAGGCGCATTACGAGGCGAAAAATCTGCATCCTCACATGGAGTACCAGTACTGGGTGACCGCCTCCACGCGTGTTGGTGAAGGCAAAAGCTCGCGTGTCGCCTCACAGATTACAACCAATCGTGTGCCCGCACGCATTGTCTCCTTCGGTGGTCCGATAGTGCGGCCATGGCGCTCAACTGTTACGTTGCCGTGCACGGCAGTTGGCAAACCGAAACGTGAATGGTACAAGGCGGATTCACTGCTGCGACAAGGCGGCCTACACAATTCTCAGCTACTTGATTCAGGCGACTTGATTATCTCGAGTTTACAGATTTCGGATAGTGGCAACTACAGTTGTCAGGTGGACAACGGCATTGGCACGGATCGGCTGACGCACGTACTATTGGTGCAAGTGCCACCTTCGGCGCCGGTGCTGTATGTGACTAGCGCTACTTCGAGCAGTATTCTGATGCACTGGAAATGCGGATTCACTGGTAATGCACCAATCACTGGCTATACGCTCTTCTATCGACGCGCCAACAGTAATATGGATGAGATGCTTTTGTCACGTCATGCATCTAGTCACGAACTAAAGGGGCTGGTGTGTGGTAGCACTTATCAAATTCATTTGACGGCTCACAATAAGGTGGGCACCTCACCGGCCAGCATCACTTTGCATGTGCGCACGCAAGGGCAATCACCCGGAATGCCGTCAACCACCAGCCTGATTGCACCCAACTCTACTACAGTATTGGTGCGTTTGCATACATGGCCAGACAATGGTTGTCCGCTGCTTTACTTTGTGCTGCAATACCGGCCGGTGACCGATGAGCCCGAGCGCGATTGGATATTGGGTAAGTAGAAAGGATGTGTGCAGCCAAAAAAGAAGTTTTCTTTTTCTATTCGGTATTCAAACACAAAAATTCAATTAAAAGTTATAAAAAAAATATCCTTTAAGGCTAATACGGTGACATATGAAATTATGTGTTATTAATTACATTTTAGGTATTATTAAATTTCAGCTATGCATCTCATAAACATAAATTTAATGCAGTCACAAATACATACAGATGTAGTGATATATACATATATATTTACACAGTTATTAGGGTGGACCTTAAAATTATCAGCATCAAAATTATATATGTGGCACCTCTTTCTTTTATTGGCGGCTATTGACCATTTGAGTAGCTCCGGGCCATCGATGTGATGATGCCACTTGTTTCTCTCTTTTGCCAAATTACGCCAGCACTTGCAGATAGACCCTTCTGCTCTAGATGCTTCCTTCGTAATCATGCGTACCCATAGGTTAGGTACGGTTAAAGTGGCTGCCCCATCTAAAGTTGGAAGGGAGCACCGCCGCCATGGGCCCAATGTGATACTGTGTAGAGCGTCCCTATGTTATTATTTTCCTAGAACTGAAGCAAGGATCGCTCAAGTCGGGAGAGCGCGATATATCTTATCTATCAAATTTAGGGAATATGTGTCGCGCTATCCTACATACACGTGGGTTCTGCAGACCACCTTTTACTAGCCTGTTCGGTAAATACTTTGTCCAGCAAGAATTCGCAATCGATAGCGCGATACCCTCACTGAGAGCATTCTAAAGGCAGATAAGGAGGTCACCTCCCTCGCCAGTTCATCTGCCACTCAGTTAGCTGATATATCATTACGGCCGGGTACCCAAAATGTTGTCAGGGCCTTAATTGGCGTTGAGGGTAGGGCCTCTGTGATCCTAATGCACGCCACCCCTTGAATCTTGGTTAGCTTATTCCCTATTTTAGAAATATCCAGAGAAGGCTACTAGGCCGCAATACCGTATGTAAATCTGTTGAATAATTTGAGGCTTCAAGCCTCATTTTTCCTTACATTTGATTTTCACGTGTATAGTTCACTAATTTCCTTCCTGGTGCATTCATCCATATTGCGCCTCCGGGTTATCTTTTTGTCCAGAATGACGGCCAGTTTTTTGACTTCCTCCAAAAGGGTGAGCGTGACATTACTAAGCCGCAGCTGGCCATTATTATTATTTTTTTTTTTTTGAATGGAGAACCAATGACCTTTTTTGCCGGGTTGGCTAAAGCCAGTTTTCCTTGGCCAAGTCTCTACTACGCTCAAGGCGCTATGTGCTAAAGCGCATAATACTTGGGGGTTATTTAGCATTACAGTCAGTCTACTGTCCGCTTCGATAACTCGGATGTTGTGCGCCTCTCTGTTGGCATACCCACCCCATGCTGGTCAAGTGGAGCTTCGTGCCTATACATGGATCAGGGTTCTTTTTCAGCAAACGCGCCACCGGTTTCACCATTCAAACGTTTTTAGAAGTCTACTCTGATCTTTGACTGCGCACTTTTTTAAAGTTTTTTTTCTCCTTCTTTGTTGGCTGTCTTGCTGGCATAGTATACTGCGTATCTCTCTGTATAAGTGGCCCAATACTCTTTGAATATATCAGCTACTTCTGCGTGGATGCTAGTAACTAACTGCCTAGGCTACAACGGGACGAAGTGAGTAACTAAAAAGACCTAAGAATCGAGAGCGTAAAATCTAGACAGTCTGTTAGATATATAAAGATAAATCATTTGATGATCTATTGTAACCTCCGCTCTTCACATTACTTTCTCCAAGCCTAGATCCGTCAGAAAGTTCCATAGCGTTTTCGGGGATAGGGCGTGAATATGCTTAAGCATCACACTCGATAAAGATGTGGAGTGGTGTTTCGCTGGAAGAGGCGCAAAATCGGAAAAGTTCGTTTGACCATATCCCCAGCTTATAAAGATGTCCACTTAGTCTGCAGTGTCCTGTAGGGAAACCTGTTAATATTTTCAACTTCCGCTTTGGAAGGTTAATTAAACTTTGGAATCTTCTCTTGTTATACCCTCCCAGTAGACGCTTTGTCTGATGCATTCCTATTAAACTATGCCAGTTTAAGTCCCTCCAATTGTTCCTGTCCCTCCTGAGCTCCTCCTTTATAGTATTGGGACTCACTTCCAGGAAGGGCTCGGGGCCAACTGGAGTGATGGCTGCGGCCTCTCTTGCGAGACAGTTTTCCGCTTCGTTCCCTTACTGCCAGGCACACACGCCATTCTGATGTTATTCTGCCTACCAAGGGAGTTGAGCCAGGTATGATTTGATTTCAAAGGATAAAAGAGCCTTGAGTGCCGCCTGACTGGCCTCCACACACAAATAGATGGCGTAGACTTCTGCTTGAAATATGCTCAGATACTTCCCCATAGGAATGGAGATCCTGGTCCTGGGTCAAAGATTCCTGCACCTATTTATTTCAGGGTCTTCGAGCCGTCTGTGTACCAATGCAGTGTAGACGGTCTATTACGCCTACATCTTTTCGACGTCGAACTTTCGCCGCGCTGCTGGGGGCACATTCTTCTTTGCACAGAGACTGGAGCGGACCTTGTCTGCGACAAGTGAGTGAGCCAATTCGATGTTTGCTCCTCAGGTGAAACGCAGGTGAAGAACGCTCGAATAATATCTTCGATCATTTGTTTAGGGCACCTCTAATATCTGCCCACCCTGACATTAAAGTCGTAAAACACGATTTTATAATCGTGACGGGTGCAGCGCTCATTTCGCAATTCGTTCACTTATGACGATGAAGTTGGAGACAAGCAATCAAAATTTCCAATGTGTTCAAAAGTAAAATTTTCCCCCATTTGAGGATCGATGAGTAAAATCAGAGCATTTTCACATCAATAAGAACACACATAATGCAATTTAACACCAACTTACTGAAATTGAGTTGCTTAATATATTACCATTGCCTTTGTTTTTGCTCTCTTTATTCCATTTCACAGTATCGAACGCTTTAAAACCGCAACGTCGTTTCACCATTTCCGGACTACAGCCATCGACTCTCTATCAGCTGCGCATGGAGGCACATAATGTGGCCGGTGTTTCGCAGGCCGAATTCACATTTGTCACTCTCACCAAGGATGGAGAGCAGCCACCGCCGGAGATAGTGCAGCGCGGTCAACGTGGCACCAACGTTTTCTATGGAAATGTGAATCTATTGATACCGAGCATTGCCACATTGTCGGGCATGATTTGCACAATAGCGCTGGTGGTCATGTGCTATCGACATAGTGAGTACCAAATACACAGACAATTGTACATGTAAACTGCCAGGGGGTGTTCGGACGGACAAGACGGAAACGACCGGCCGGTGTCATGTGAATGTAAATGGCTGAGTGGGTCATCATTCTTTGGCACTAACAAAACAAAACAAAGCAAAACCAACGCAAAACAAACACAACGCTATCAGCATTCACAAACAAACAAACAAACAAACCAACAAGCGTACAAACAAAACGGAAAACGTGTGAATGAACTACCGAACTCCGTACGGTTGTTTGTTTGCTGAAGAGTAGGTGGTGGGCGCTGAACAAAAATGGGAGCCCGACGACAATCGTTTGAACAGACAAAACGACTAACTAACTGAATAACCAAACAAATCAATGAACGTAAATGCAAACGTAAATGCCTACAAACATACCAACACATAAGTATACATACAAAACTGCTGCAGTTTTACTGCAAGATGAACAGGATGAAGGATACGCATATGTACGTTGGCGGTGGTGCATAGTCGCATGTACGTATTTATGTATGTGGGCCTCAATGCCTCACAGCATACATTGAACGTGTATACGTCGAGAAAATAAATTTTACGTTGTTACAACGAATTGAATTTTAATTGGCATGACGCCGACCAAATGCTGTGCAGTAACTAACGCAAAGCTTTTACTTTTTGTTGGTGTTAGTCGTGTTATTGCTGCTATTATGTTTGATTTTGTTATGTTTCGAATTCCACAGGGCGCATTGAATTTACTACTCTTCCGACTACATATGTACATTAGACTGCATCACTCCCCATACAAAAAATAAATAAAAATCGGTACTATTTTTCCATTGGAATTATAAAATTTATTATATTTTAAGACGTCCACCAAAATATTTCGGAAAAATATTAAGATTTAAGCGAATAAAAGAATAAAAATAGTTTCTTAAAGATATTTTTTTGAAACAAAATATTTAATAAAAATAAAAAATAAAATTTTTTTGGTATAAGACTTGAATAACTGAACCTAAACCCTTCAGATTTAGACTTGTGACGTATCATTTGAAAGGTATTTTCTCACCCTTTTTATAACTTTGCTAATAAGCTCATTCAAAGGATGAAAGAGAAAGGTAGGATGAACGAACATCATTCAAAGTTGAATTAAGATGTGTTGGTATTTGAAAAAAAAATAAAAATGGGACACGAATGACTTTTTTTGCACATAAATAAAAAAGGGGAAATACCTTTCTACCGAGATGCTATAAGTCTTAATCAGAATAGTTTTGGCCCAGTTATTTAAGTTTATCGCAAATCAATCTTTGAAAAAAGTAAAAAAAAAACAGCATCAAAAAACTCATTATTACGATTCCGTTGAAAAGATTTTTAAATATTTTTATGCAGATTTTTTAAGCGTTATCGGTTTTGTCATCTGAGGGGACTTTTTTCAAAAAGTTCTTTAAGAAACTAGTTTTATTCATAAAAAACTCTTTTTTTAGAGTTATTTTCGAATCGGTCCATCCCGCTTAAATCTTAATATTTTTCCGAAATATTTTGGTGGACATCTTAAAATATAATAAATTTTGTAATCCCGGCGGAAAACCGCAACTTTTTTTGGTGATGCAGTCTAATGTACCTACATTCATATGCATTCTCTCTAACAACAAAATCTATACTCGAACTGCTGCTAAAATTTTCTTTTGATTGTTTTTCGTATAGAACAAGGAAATCGTATACAAAAGGAATCGCTGGAGAATCGTCAGAACTCGGAGGCAGCGCAGCGGGAACGCTATTATGCCACCATTCACAAAGTGTCGATGCAGAATAACGACAAAATTCCTGGTAAGTTATTACTATTGGTTATGTGTTGTTCTTGTTGTTGTTATGTTTTCAGTGCGACTTCAGAATGGTCGTAAAGAATGGAAATGGAAACAGCTTGCGGAATGTGAGTTTTTATATGTATATTGGGGTGGTCCAAAAATGCATGAGAAAAAGTGAAGTCAGAATTTTTATGCTCTCACTCCCTAGGCTTCCGGCTATACCGAAAAAAATATACCCCCATTTTTTTATTTTGAAATAAAAAAAATATTTAGCGGTCGCTCAAAGCGCTCAAGGTTTCACCCGGTATTTTATATGGGGAAAAACAACTTTTCGTAGAAATGGTATAGAATTCTTAAAAATCAATATTTTTATATGAAAAGTTGTTTTTTCTTCATATGAAATACATGAAAACCTCTAAATATTTTTTGATTTCAAAATAAAAAAAGAGGTATATATTTTTTCTACGTAGAACAACCCTAGGGGATGAGAGCATTAAAATTCAGACTTCACTCTCTGGGATCACCCTAATGTACATACATACAATTGATAATGCATTCCATTGAAGGTGCAATTTATTTGGTGGTTATTTTTTTTTTGCGAAAGAAGCTCTTAGGCGATGGAGTATAATTTGCTTGGTTATGAAGGCACAGTTGGACTTCCGTCAGCGTTTAATTTACCACCAATAATTCTATATTTTACATATAAATGTATATGCAATCGCTAAATATGTGGCACATAAAAGGGAATTAACTTATGGCGAGTCATTTTATTTCCGGGCGGAAGCATAAAAATGTTTTCATACTACATAAGGTCAGTGCGCTATTGTGGGTGGCACTATAAATCAATGGGGGTATTCACCAAATTGAGCAAGTGACCTGGCACTCGGGCAAAAGAGGTGATCAGCTCAAACCAACGAATGTTATCAAAGTTGTTGCTTGAGATAATCAGGGCCAAGGTCACCTGCTCAATTTAGTGAATACCCCCCATATAACAAAGCTGCTGGAATCCAAGGCAGTTTGACCTGAGTGATAATAATTTTAGCCTTCGGTAGACACATCTGTTTTGTTTGACGTGTCGTAAATTTCACCTCAATCCAGACGATGGTTTCCAAAAACTCATTTGTAAATACTTAACTTAAAGCAATTTAAAAGGAAATGTCTTAAATAATTAATTTATTCAGGGGCACCCGATAGGCTTGCCACTTGTTTCAAAAGTCAAATAAAATTAAACAGTATTGAAATATTAGTGTCCTTCAAAAGCGTGTTGAGAAATCTTTAATTCCACATTATTGGATAGGGTTGCCATTTATTAAAAAAAAAAAATTCAATTCAAAATATTTAATGAGTTAAATGAATTATTACAATGAGTGAAAATCTCTCAAGTGAGCCACCCAAAATTGGATGGTCAAGATGTTTTCAAACAAATAACTTTTTTCGGTTTGCAACCATAAAAAAAATATAATTTGAACAGTTTTGCAAAATTCGAATTTTTACAAGAGTTATTGTTATTAACTTTTTTTTGATGAATTTAGTAATGGCAATTTGGTATTCGAAATATGTATCGGAATAGGGATGTCAGACGCAAGAGGTTTAAGAAGGTTTTAGTTTGAAAAAAAGGGTTGCCACCTGCTTGAAAAGTTGAAATTATCACAAGTTAAATGCAATATTAAAAGATAAGAGTAACCGTTCGGTTTAATGTAAGATTATTTTATAATAAAATACATATAAACGAGGGAGGTATATTGTAACTTTTAAATTACAAGATAATCTACGGTATGTAAACCTAGTATAATATGGACAAACAAGATCAAACATTGCTTTTTGTCGGATATCCAGGCAGCGATTAAGGTTTAGGCTCCGTAAATATTATTTCTAGCCCAATAAAACAACGTAGAGAAAAAGTTATGGGTTTAGCTGGTAGGTATATCGCTGCACTGATATGTGTGCAGGGGCATTCATGACAACCTTGATTTTTAGGGTTAGCGACTTATCATAAGGATGCAAAAGATTCTCCAGGCTGCGGTGTGCCCTGCTCTGTTAAATTCAATCCATAAATTAACTAACTACATATAAGCCAACCAATAAAAAATTATAAATTAGTAAACCAAATGGGAGCATTAATACGAATTTTCTAAATAGCTTGCGAAAATATTTCTTATGAACCAATTAGCCCAGATTCAGCCAAACAAAAGACATTTTTATAAGGGTTACCACCCGTTTAAATAGTTATACTAAATTTAACTAACCGGTTGAACGAAATTTTACCATGGCACCTATTTGAAAGTGGAATTAAAATTAATATTAATAAAATGAAATATACAAATATGGATATCAACCTAAGAGGATATATTTCGAAGATATTTTCGAAACTGTTCGCCATCCGTTAAAAGCCAAATTGAATTTAACCAATAACTGAAATAAAATATTGCAATGCGGATGTCAAACGAATGAAGTATTCGAAAGTTTTATTTCGAGAGAATTTTTTAAAGGGTTGCCACCTATTTAATTTAAATTTAACCAATAAGTCTACAATGTGGAAAAAGGATTAAGAAACCTACATTTTTAAAATAGTTTTGAAACGGATGCCACCTTTACAAGAATGACTTGCATCCAGGTGATTATTTTCAATCGAAATATCTCTCGTCTTCTCATCAAGTTATTTTAAAAGCATTGTATAAGACATGGTGGAATTATACCGAGTGAAGTAATTAGAGTGAGAAGAAAAATTTTGACACTGCCTTATTTGAAAATTTGCCTATAAAATTTGACTAAATATAAGGCAGGCGAATGTCAGAAAATAAAGCGAGAGAGCTGTTTTATTATTTCGCCTGTTTATTACGCCATGTGTATAAGGTACTTTACACGTTTCCCAAGTTTAAATCAATTTATGCTATTTCGAATGCCGCTGTGGCTTTTCTAAAATTAGCAGATTTAAGTAAGCACCTAAGTCGGATAACTGCCAGCTTTTTAAAATTAAAATTTGAAAATATCCCAAGTGCTCGTTTTTATTTATGTGTATCAACTAGCCAATACACGCTTGCTTTGCTATCTTCGAAATCAAGCTTCCTTAAACTGATTTTGAACTTTTTCATAGGTGGCAACCCTCTTCAAAAATATTTTAGAGATAAAGCTTCCTTGAATCTCTCTCATTTGATACGCATATTAAAATATTTAATATAACTTGTTAGTTAAATTGAACTTGAATTTCCAAACTGGTGGCAACCGCTTCAAAAATATTTTCGAAAAAATTTGTCTTAAACCTGTCACTGACTTAATTGCCATGTAAGATATTTGATTTTATTTGCCAATGAAATTAATTTTTACCTTCAAAACAGGTGGCAGCCATCTTAAAAATATTTTCAAAATAAAGCTTTTGTTAATCCCCTCTGGTTTGACATCCCCATTACAATATTTCATTTAACTTGTAATTTTAATTGATTTTAATTTTTTGAGGAGGTGGCAACCATGTTCACAATAATTTTCAAATAAATCGTTTTAGAACTGCTTTCGTTCGACGCCGGAATTATTTTAATATTTTGCTTAGCCTATTAATTAATTGCATTTAACTTTTAAAAAAGGTGGCAAAGCTATTTAAGAGATATCCCTTAGCTAACTCAGGTCACACATTGTCTACGTGCTAACCTTCATTCCAATCCATTCAGCCGTTTTCGTCTGATTAAGTAATAAGCATCCTAATATCCAAACATACGAGCTTTCACATTTATTATATTAGTAAGATTACCTCCCGCTGAGAGGTGCATGTCCCCGTATTATGTAGGTATGTATAGTAGATGTATATTGTCGCTTAAACAATATCTGAACAAAGCTACCCATATACGTTTTTTAGCGTTCACCTTAGTTTAATATAAATGTATGTTTATTCGTGTATACTTATTCATGCCCTTGTCAAAGTGCAGTGACATTACTCACCGCTAATGCCAATTAAATAAATCACAGCGCCTTACCACCAACAATCACAACAACGCCCTCCCAACGTTTCAACAGCAAAGAAAGCAACGCAATGTCAAAGCCATTTCCATTTCCATTTCCATTTCCATTCCAATTATTTACTAATTAGTGTCGTTTGCTGTTTGTTATAGGTGCCTCTTTATATATTTACAACTACATGTGTGCCTATGTGGATGTATGTCATTAACTTTTTTTCTCCTTCCTCTCTTTTCTTCTACCTTCTACAAACAGAGACATCCGAGGATATTTCACCGTATGCCACATTTCAATTATCCGAGACGGGAAACATGTCACAGCCACATCATGCCGGTCCGGCTAATACGCTTTTGCATTCCTTTATGTATCACGAGCGTGCCTTGACCGAGGGTTGCTCGTCACCACCACCCGCAGCGGTATTAAAACCAACCCAACACCAAAATCACCACCATCACCTGAATTATCATTACAACCACAATCAACGTCCAACTAAGACAAACTATAATCATTATCAGACCTCGCCATTTCATAATATCGTGCGTTTAATTTCTTATCTGTTTTTATTTAGATTTTGTTCGTAATTTGTGTTGTTGTTGTTTGAAAGGATGTGTGCTTTTAAATATCTAGAGTGCTAGAAAATAATTGACTTAGTCGGTTTTTTTTTTTTAATTTTCGTAAGGCGCATAATTGTAGTCGAAAGAAAGTTGATTTATTGTTAGACAAAGAAGCGCTTTTGGGGTTTTACGTAATGAATAAGGGAATTCTATTGCGCCTGCCGCTAAATACTTTTATAACATTGTTGTATATTGAAATTATGTCTTATTCGTTATTGAAGTCAATAAAGGTTGGTTTATAATCGTGGTGATCAGAGAGAGCTTTTACTCTAAACTAGGGTTGCCAATTATACTATTTTTTCGGACTGCGTACTATATACTGTTGGAAAAAAATATAATATGCAGAAATACTATTTTTCTTTAATTATAAATATTAATAAATTTCAGTAATTTGCAAGAAAGAATGTATATTAAAATGTATGAGCTTTATCCTGAAGTAAAAATATTGAAAAAAAAATTCTTTAATATAAAAGGTCATACCGAGTTTATTAATAGAACCACAGATCAAAAATTTCAACATTAAAAAAAAGAATGAATTACCAAATTAACTTAATATTATTTCATTCCTGCTCTCTATTCCTGCAACTTCGGCATTCACAGAGGGAGTTTTTTCTATTATGAAAGTCAAGTGGCGAGATGAGAGAAACCAAGCGACTATCTCACTAATAAAAAAAAAACTTTTGATTTATATTAATTTAAATATTGATTGCTAAGAAAGAAAAAAGATGTACACTTAAAAAACGTTTTTAATTTTTCTTTTAAATATAATACTATATTTATTTGAAGTGTACTATATTTTTCAGATTTTTTTGAAAATGTACTATAAATTTCTTAAAAAATGTCGGCAACCCTACTCTGAACATGCCTATATGAAATCTAAAAAAGCTCTAAATTGCAGTTTAGGAGCAACATAATCATACAGACAGCCTCCGTACAAAAACATTTACGAACAAAAGCATTTGATCAGCAACGACCTGAGATAGCTTTTCACCAGTGTGAGTCTCTATCGACGATAACCAAAGAGAACCTTTACTCTCTGTGCGTCCATAAAAAATGTATAGCAATCTTTAAAAACCTTCTCTGGCAGGATATGTTTGGATAGTAAATGGTACTTAAAAAAAACTAAACTCCGGCGGGCTTTTTAAAGCTTTATATAAATTTTATATTGCCGCGAAAAGAGATAGGCTCTGTATCTCTGTCTGCTATAAAGCGGTCAAGGGTCCCAATTTACCCGCGGGAAAAGCTCTTTTAATCTTTCTATAGATTTTGTTTAGGCGCGTGCAGTTTAAAAACGCTCTGTTCGCTGGCTATATCGTGGCTGTTTTTTGGTTTGGAAGCTATCCCAAAGAGTTTGCTGAAATGAGAATGATTAGTTATCCACACATTGGAATACAATGAAGCAGAGAGGGACTTACCTATCTCTCCGTTGCATGGATCCTCTATTATATCGTCTTCAATTGGTCAATTTAATTTCTAGCCTGAGTATCTCAACTCACTTTGCTAATAATCATCGGCATTTAGAATAAATCTATAAAATATACAGGTGCAAGGCTGCGGATACCAGACAACCACCGGATCTCTGCCTACGCGAAGGACCTTCATTCTACGCCAATCGAGATCAAAGCTAAAAACGTTCCTCTAAAAAAATACAGGCATAGAAATTGTATTAGTAAAAGAGTAAGGGCTCTCTCGGTTCAAAAATGTTTTAAGTAATTTATAAATTGTCTTACCTCCTTTTACCTTTTTTCAAAACTAAAGATAAAAGTTTGTGCAGTCAGTGAATCCAGGAACGATATGAACTTCAATATATCCAACAATGTTCTGTAGGGCGACAAATAATGGGATTTTAATGTAAATAGGTTTATTCGTGAATTCAGTTAACTCCGGTTATGCGCCACTAACTTGTAGACGTGGTAGAGAACAGTTTTCTTGACTAAACGACTCTTAATAACCTCAAAGCGGTTCTTAAAGTTCTGTTTGCTAAAGTTGTTAAAAGTAGCTTTTTCAGTAACTGTTTACTTTAAGGACCATCATAGCTTAATTAGTTTTAGCGCCGTTTTCTCGAGTAGCTTTTAAAATTTAACTATGTAAATTTAAACAAAAATTTTCTTCTAAAAAAATGTGTTCGAAGTTCAGATAAACTCTAAAAGCTACTTTAGAAAACGGACTTTAAATTTTCACATTTTTCTATTTTGCCTTAGTACCTTTTTTTAAAGTAATACTAAAGTAATTAAAGAATACTGAAATCATATAGTGTTGATATAACTTACATACTAAGAAGCTCCTCCGCTCACTGCCTATACTTTAGTATCATTTAGTAAAAAAAAATTATAATTTTCCTCAACTTACTGCTTTCAACTATTAAGTATATTTGGCAAATTTTTATTATAATTTTTTTGTTTTTTTTATATTGTTTTTTCTTTGTAAGTTGCTAACCCTCCATCCTCGTTCGCTTCGCTCTCATACCATACGTGCCTGCTGGTTAAATTTTAATTGACTTTTACATTTTCTCGCTTTGTTTTCCATTTCACATGAATTCGCGCGTGCTTGTTTGCTACTTGCTGTCCAATTAGTCTTCGAAGAATCGGCGCCGTCATTCGCGTAAAACTGAGCCAGAGAGTGAGGAGTCCGAATCGGATCAGGATCAATTGACGTCAAGTCGTACGGAGTCATCCAATCAGCATGAGGGAAAAATAAAGCATAGTAAGTTTTATTGTTATGTTTTTTTTTTTTGCATTTTATCTTAACAAGTTTTTAATCCCGCTGGCACAAAAAATTTGTTGGCATGAGATTTTACACTACATCCACACATTGTTGATTTATATGTATACTATACACACTTTGTTTTTATAGATAAATAAATAGATATGTATGTACAGATGTAAGTATTTAATGAAATGTGATGCACTCGTTTAATGAAAATCTAAGCTGTAAAATACAAAGTTCGAAACCAACAGTATTCTCATTAAAATGATGTGACTTGTCAGCACATCTACGCCTAAGAATATTTCTCCTCTGTTCAGCGTAAGGATCTCCCGATATACCGATGATATACCATCCTTGAAAATCAATATTTTTCAATCAGCACACTCTGTTTCTCCCCAGGAGACTTTAAGCAATAATAATACCAAATTTTTTATTTAACCATTTCTTAATACTAACGATTTTTTATTGGTCTCTCTATTGCATTTTTTGGGGTTTTTGGGTACCCATAAAAAATAGTTAGTATTAAAAAATGGTTAAAGAAACAATTGGCTATTATTTCTTGTAGTCTCCTAAAGAGAAACAGAGATTGAAAAATATAGATTTTGAAGGATGCTATACCAGTTCTACGAAACAATTTTTTCCCCCATATAAAATTCATGGAAACTTTGAGCGCTTTGAGCGAACTCTAAATTTTTTATGATTAAAAAAAACAAGGGTATATTTTTTCGATACAGAACAATCCTAAGGGGTGAGGTCATTAAAATTCCGCCTTAACTTTCCTTAGGCCCCAACACCCAACAGCTTCCTATACAGCCTGAAAGACGAAGAAATGAACTGGAAAGCGAATGGACTTTTTTAGTCCGAGGGCACGCCCTATACGACCTTATTATCCGATACGGATCCGCTGGTATAGAACCGAATAGAGTCAACTTCTCTCGGAACTTTCTGGGTCCTTTGCTCTCTGCTAGAGACTTCTACTTCAAACCTTGTTCGCCTTTTTTATTGGCGAGTGTTTTCTTTCGTCAGGAGAAGGTGCTATGCTATGTACCACGAAAATTCTCTCTTCAGCTGGATCCCTTTCGCGGTCGTATAACAGCACCGGGACAACTTTGTATTCGCATAATGTCTATCGACAATATGTTTAGCAGCACGCTCATTGGTTCCGTGGGTGTAATTGCAGTCCGCCACTGATCCAAAGTAGAGTTGTTCTTTGTGCCTTTTGTAATGGGAGGATGTTTGGTTTCTTAGAAAAAATAAGCCGCCTTACCTACACTCACTATAATAGTGTTGGGCTTTTTAGATTGCACCTTTACAGACGTAAAGGGATTCTGCAGCTTTCCGCAATGTGTTTAGTATTTAGCTTGGCTTCCTATCGGGTATTCGTTAATCATATGTAGCTTTGGCATAGTGTTTAAAGAAAATTTCCACTTATGGTTCGACTGCATACGCAATGACTAAGCAAACCCTCGGCTCATCCATATCCGTAAGCAGTCTATTACCTGCCAGGAGCCATAAATTAGGAGGTGGGATTTCAGCTTTTGGGATGAACTGCTAACAAATCTGCTCGCCGATACTCACCATAGATAAGCTTGCACTTCCTTGCATCTTGGAATTTGGTCGACGACCAGATCCGTCAGCGCTGATGTTTTTGACGAGCGCATAATGTTGTTGAAAGCGAGCTAGAGTTTCATGTTTCCGAGTACTAAACTTTGGCTTGAGCGTACAGTGTTTTTGCAAGCTTATCCGCGACCGCCTACCTTATGCAGATCTCTCTAAGACTCTAAATTATTAATTGAAAGTACGATGAATTTATCTGGCTGCAGCACTTAGGCTTGATATGCGTTATATTTCCAACTTTGAACATGAAAGCAAATCTGGACTGTGTCCATCTATTGGATATGTTGTTCAGAGTAAGAACAAGTTGAATTCTAACATGCAAATTTTTCAAACCTCACTTCCCTGATTGCTACATTTAAATTGGTGCTACTCCGTTTGGCTATGGAATCTACTATAACTTTAAAGTTCCAATAGCCCAGGCTATCTTCTCATGGGAGAGAATTTCTTTTGTTATATTTAAGGTGCATAATGTGCTGCTCCAAGGTTTCCTCCCTCGTCATTGTCCGCATGCCATCGCAACCCTGTAGGCATCCTGTGACTCTTCGGAAATCCGGATAGTACCTTACTTAACTCCGGCACGAATTTCACGTTGGTACGTTCCTTCGTGAGGTTCTTAACGCTTTTATACGTTCTTTTTTTAAGCTTCCCAAAATTTCACATAGGCTGTTCCTGAGGCAAAATTTAACGCCCTTCTACACAGTTTTCGCACACTTCTAATTTCTTGACTCCACCAATATAGTTTTGTTTTCTGCATCTAGGCTTCGTACTCGGTCAGGCTTTTCGATTGTCCGAAGTGTCTGGGTTTGAGATTTGGGGTCGAAGTTTATTAATGAATTTGTGAGCTTCATCCATTGGTACTGCAAACGTATTTCGCTTTGGGCTGACCATTGCCTCTCTGCTTCGCGAAGTTGCACCAGTTGCGGATAGGTTTTTTTACACTTGGTCCCTCTATTGTGTTTGTGAGCACAGTTGCCTTCGTTGTCCACCCAAAAGAGCCGAGTCAAAAAATCGTCTTATCGGAGCATTATTATTCACAGGTACGACATGTCCAAATTCCCCTTTCCGTCTTCTTCATTACATGTCACCCATCGTTCTTCAAAAAAAAAATTTCAGAGCATAATTTTTGTTCCACAATAGATGCCTGCATTTAGTAGCAACTGTTGGCAAGACTGATTCTTCTCTTGATTTTCTGTCAGACTCTAGTAATGTTTACGCTGGATACTAAATTGCCGAAAACCTTCACCACTTGAAAATTGTAACTGCAAATAGTGGTGTGTGTACCAATACACGAAAACTCTTTCTAGCTTTGAAAGGGAACGCGATTCTAAGAACGCTTATCCCGCGATAATTGGTGCAAACATCGAGGTCTGCCTTTTTGTGGATTGGGTAAAGTTCGGACCTAGTTCAGCTAAAATGTGGTACATGCTGTCTACCGGCTCTCCGCTGCCGGCTTTGAACAGCTCAGATGGTTTGTTGTTTTTAAGCCGCAATATTGTTGTTCTTACCTCATCCTGCTCTAGTGGAGGGACGTGAGCTACGTCCCTATACACTATGTCAATATTCAAAAGCGTTGAGAAGTATTTCCTCCATAGCTTAAGTGCACTCCTTACATCCGTTACCAGAGTTTAGTCTTCATCTCTGCAGAATCTAATATTATATAGCAATCCGCTTGCTCCAAAACAGACGCTCGCTTGCAACCGAACTTGCTGGTGAATAGACGCTGCTGATTTTAGTGATTTACAGGGCGATTCTGGCTAAGGTAGTTGCAAGTCTTTTATAAGACAATTGAGAGACAGTATGCAAGATAGTTTAAAGGATTTTGTTTATTCTGGCATGAAATTTGTACAAAAAAACTCCCTTTTCCAAATTTTATGATGAAAAGCTCTTTTGGCAGAAAGCACTTGAGCACGTTCCAAATGGAGGTGCAGGTACATACCGTCGTTTAAAGTACAAAATCGCGTATCTTAATTCTGCAAAACCTCGCAACTGATATTTGTGCCAATTATATATGTGATATATCCAAATATCGATATTTAGATATACAAGGTAGCGATAATTAGGGATAAAAGAGAGAACCGTGTTGAAATAAGACAGGTTTTGCATTCTCATGATACGCATGTATTTATGTATATCATTTTGCTCGCGCTGCTTCAAAAGAGGCAATTTCTGAGTAAACAATTCGAGAGATTCGACGTTCGAATCCTGGGGCAACGTTTTTTTTTTTAATTTTTCTAAAGTTAGGTTTTTGTTTTTTATTCAATTTTTAGAATTTTTTGTTTTGGAAAGCAAAATATACATACATATATATATTTAATTTCATCTAATTTTTATAAACTTATTTTGTGCAGTTTGCTTTTTTTATTTATCTAGTTTCTTCTCTTTAAATTTTGTTTATTTGTAGATTTTATTGTTTTCTTTTTTTAAAATTATAATTTTTTTGTTTTTTTTTTAATTTAATTTTTAAGGACTTATTTTTTTTGTTTTAAATTATTGATTCCCCTTTTTTAATTAAATTTTCTTTTGATTTATAGATTTTATTGATTTAAGAAGATTTTTTGTTCCATTTCAGTTAATTTTTAGAAGCTTATTTTATATATTTTTTCTTTTTTAAACAATTTAATTTCTCTTTTAATTAACTATTAATTTTAAGATTTTACTGTTTTGAAACGATTTGTTTTCATTATTTTTTAGAAACTGACTATCTTTTTGCTTTTTTTAATTATAATTTTTATTTTTTTTATAATTCTTTGAAACTTATTTTTTTAATTGTTTTCCTCTTTCAATTAAATTTTCATTTAATTTTTAGATCTCATTGTTCTAAGGCTGTCTGCAACTCTAAAGAAAAACTAAAAATTCATATAAAATGGAGCATAAGAAATGGAAAAGAAATTCTCTCTATCAGAACTTCTAAAATCAGTGTGCAGCTTTTAAGAAAAAATGCTCGTATATTTATCGATGGTCCTGCACTGCATACGGCCCTTTAAGAAGCAAAAAACATATATTTTTTGCGTTTCATTTTTAAGAAGTTAATTTCATGTATTTCTTCTTTTTTAAATTATATTTTTAACCTAATTCACAATATCAATATCAATTCGTCGGAATATATGTATATATATTTTTTTATGTATATATATTTCCAAAACAAACAAACAAAATGAAATTTACTGTTTTCAAAACAAACAAAATGTAAAATTAAAATTTACTTTTCATTATACAAAACGAGTTCATCACAATTTCTTACTTACACGCAGCAGATTCCTTTTGCAAACCACCATCACTTCCAAGGTTCAATATTAAGAAACTTTCGATTTTCTTTGTAGTGTAATTCATCACAGATCATCACACTTCGTAGTTGTACCTTCCCGAACCAATGTTGTACCTTTTTCACAAAAAGTGTGTTGTAATTTCGAAAATTTAAATTTCACTTAACTGTAACAAAAAACTCTTTTGCTATTATTTGATTTGC